TGGAACGGTCAGACCCAGATTCAGACTTACAGAGTTGCTGTATGTGTTAACTGTGTTGGTAACTCGTTCAGAATGATCCGTCCTCTCTCGAGGTTTTGTCGTTAAAAGAGAAGGAACGTCGTAGTCGTCATAGTCGTCGTTGTCGTCAGTCCTTGAAGATCTCGAAAGTTATTCCGATCACGAATGGTTCTCCTAGGATAGCGAGAAAATTGACATTTCGAGCAAATTATTATTGAATTAATAGAAAAAAAGGGCTTTTAATGGAAACTTATGTTCTACTTACATTTACATTAGTTACAAATAAAAAAAAAAAAATGTAATACGACAAAAAATTATCAAACCCAATGAAATGTGTATACTGTGACAATAATCTAAGTAAAAATATTTTTTAAATGATTTATTATATATAAAGATTATCTAGTTGGTTAAATAATAAAATTAAATAACATATTAATAATTATAACATAAAATTAAGTAAATTAACTAATGTTTAAATATATATAATATATATAGTATATAATTTATTTATTTATATTATAGATAATATTATATTAAATTATATATTATAGTAATTTAAAATTACCTAAAATGTAAATTTATATGAACTCATTATACAGTTAACTATTACAATTACCACTATCAAAGAAGATCGATAGATAAAATCCATTTGTAAATTTTATAAGAATAAAAAAACCATTTATAATGAATTGTGAGTATCTGGGATTCGTTATCGAATAATGGAGGAGGTTAGGTTACGTTCGACCAATAGGAAAAAGATCGTGGAGCTTGTACGGGCCCCCGTGAGTTTGCTTAGGACTGTAAGTAAGATCGGCCGACATTTCTGGCGACATTCTGTTGTAAGCCTTTTGGTTAGCTTCGGTTATATTGCGATTTCTTGTACGCTCGTTATTTACTTCACGTTTCGTGAAAATGAAAAAGGCGGAGTCTTGTGCAAGTATTGCCGCCGGTGAAAGTCTCGGCTCTCTTTTGCAGTCCGAGCACGGTCTCCTTGCCGCTTTGGGTCCACTCTCCGCGGATGGATAAGGATCTCTCGAACGAAGATCGATCGTCGTATGTAACTTTCGTGGGAAATTTATAAGATTTATCGAAGAGACCTACGGGACTTCTGTTTTTTCTTTTCTTTTCATTATTATTTGCCGAATAAACGAATAACGAATGGTAACGATGATAACGGTGACGATGAATCTACTTAACTTGTGTTTTTTTAAATAAAAATCATATAAAATAATACCACGGTATTATTTTTATTATTCAAAGAATATAACGGCAAAATAATACTAAATTGATGTTACACATGTTGTAAGACAACATTTTGATCAAATGGAGCGTTTATCTTACTGATGGTCACAGGTGTATTTGTCATATTTAAATACACTAACTAATTTTCATTTAGTTTTTTTATAATTGTAAAAGGTTCATACGCTCCGGTCATCAATGACCACCGTGGCAGTCAAAGTGTTAAACGAAAATTCGATGAAATAGTTTCAATCGTTCGTATTCAATTTCTTTTTACTTATACGAAAAAGCATTCATCGTCACGTTAATTTATCGTTAAATGATCCTAACGAAGAATCAATTGGAGGATGAGTGTGAATTTTGGGCGAATCTTTAATAAGTTTTGCTTGTTTTAAACAAGTAATGCAGAAAGTAACAAATCAAGTTCCCTCGCACGCTCGCCAACGAAGAGTTATTCCAGCAATCCTTATAAGCGCGCGTTCCAACGATTCCTTCGTTGACCCGACGCAATATTACATAAGAGAGAATGAATACCGGGGATCGTGTACCGAGTAGAGAAGTGCGCGTTACACCTTGTAAACTAATCCGAAGTAGGCGGTTTAGAATTTTCTTAAAGGCTCCCAAGTACTATTGCCCGTATTCGATTTAATATCTGGAATATATATTTACCAATTAAATCGACATCGTTATCTTCGACGACTAATTAAAAGGAAAAGATAACTGGGGTGACGGGAGAATAAATGGGAAACTTCTTTACTATATTTTATATTTTGTTCTGATTCCTTTTATTTTTTTTAATGCATAAAGATACAAAATTTACTTACAGAAAATATATATTTAAAAAAAACCATGTTGGTTTTTATATTGTAAATATTGCAAATATAAAACTTGATTTGTTATAGATAAATGCAACTTTGTCTTTATTTCAAAAGCCAACAATATCAAAGATCCAAACCCTATTAAAAACTTATTATATATATATATATATAATCAAAATATTTATAGATGCCCGTTGTTATTATTTATTATTTATTTGGGGTAAAGGGGGAGGGGGTTAACTTCTTTGCTATACTTTGTTTTATTGATTCTTTTTATTTTTTAACTCATAAAGATAAAGAATTTACTTACGGAAAAAATGTAAATGCACGTTGTTATTATTTATTATTATTATTTATTGTAAATGATAGAAATAATATATTTTCTGTTGGAATACCGATCGACATAACGAGCCATTTTATATTTTTTATGGTCACTTCGGTATTATCGGTTTGAAACAGAACTTTCGTCGAGTGTTTCGATTTAGTGGTCGGAGAAAGACGGTAGCGTACGCACACCAAGAGAGAAAGAGAGAAAGAGAGAGAGATATAGCTTTCCACTTGGTAACGATTTTATCGGCGAAGTTTCTCGCCGATAAACATTATCTTCGACGACGGGACGATGTGTCCGACACGTTTGCTACCGTCGCCGGTGCACCGCACAAACGTGTGGCTCCTACCTCTATCTCAAATAAAATAACGGTTAAGAACGTAATTCTCTCTACGTTTGCCCGACATGTTTATTCTTTATAATCTCTACCTCTAAAACCGTTTTATTTTATTTTTTTTATTTACAGAATTTCATGGCAAATCAATCGGGTTAATGATATTTTTCTATTTCTATTTCTTTTTAATTTCTTAGCCACTGCTAAATGTTGCGCGGAGGTTGGGTAGGGTTCGACAAGGTTCAATTACGTGTAAACGATAAAACTACGATGTGTTACGAACAATGGCTGTGTTCTGTACACGAGTACATTTTAACGAAGTTTTTTTATGATTAAATTATAATTTTTATTAAAGAAATTTACCACATATACTTTAACTTAGACAATTTACTTTAATAATTATTAATAAAATTAGGTCTAATATACTTTAAAACTATAGTAGTGCATCGTACTAGAATATGACATTCGTGAAAGCTATTATAGTGGCTAAAGTAGTAAATAAAAAGTTAACCGAAAGAAGACTTGAAAATTGTTTTTTTATTTTGTTCAAATTTAACAAGTAAATCGAGCCGTTCAACGTTCAACAAAAAAACTAGGGAAGAGTTCTCTTGTCATCCGTTGTCCGTTGTCCGTTGTCCGTTGTTTCCCTTTACATTTTGTCATCCCTACCAAAACCTCCCCTACTCTTCTCTTTTGCACACAACACAACCCTGGGTTTCCGTTGGGCGGCTTCAGAGACGATCGGCAAACGTGCCGCTTCGCCTAAGGCGCAGTAAATACCGGTATCTACTGTCGTAAAGTGCACCATTGGTTTTCCACGAGACGTAGGTATATACTACAAAACGTAAGTCTCTGTGCTGTACACAGAAAACGTTCAAAGAACGAAACAGAGACAGAAGTAGAGACAGAAAGAGAGAAAGAGAAAGAAGGAGAGACGACAGTAGGGCAACTCGAGTCGTAATTTATGTCTCCACGGTACGCGCCGCGGTACGCCGTGAGCGCGTTGACAGTTGAAACACGGCAGCTACTCCGATTGGTCGGCTTCGGGCGCCTTATAGGGTCGCGCGCATGCGCACACTGACTTGCGACATCCATCAGAAACGAACCGCCGATTCGCTACCCGATCGAGACTCTGACTCTCTTTCTCCTTTCTTTCTCTTTTTTTTTCTTTTCTTTTCTTCTTACTTTTATTTGATTTTGTCCTTTTTGAATTTCCTTATCCTTCTTTATGTTCATCCTTTCTCTCTTTCTAATTTTTTTCCTTTTCTTTCACCAAGTTGCAGAGAAAGCAGCATTTGAGAGAAGGCAATATACGAGGGAATAGGGTTGGTAGTGGGGAAGAGGGAGGAGGAAGGAGGAGGAGCAGGCGCTCGTGCGTTGTTTCTTCTTTTTATCAGTTCGATGCGATTTCTCCTACCGGTTCGACCTGTCGATCGATCATGATCCGTCGTAGCATCGATCGCTTCCTGCATCGATCTTCCTCCTTCCCGAGGCCACTTTTTACGATCATTCTGGACCGTCGAGTAATGCAAATTTCTGTTATGTAGGTTAAAAGATCAAAATATACAGGCATATAATTATTATTTTTATATATTTAATATTATAAATAATATCAGAGAAACACACTAATGTCAAGCATTTTTCTGTTTTTATTCTTTTCATTTTTTGTTTATCTTCATTCATTCTATTCTCTGACTTTGACAGTTTACGATCGATAACGAGGTTTACACTTTTGAGATCCTTTGAAATAACGCGATATCAAGAAAAGGAAAATTAAAAGAAAAGAAAACAAAATATAAGAAAGAAAAGGAAAGAGAAAGACGAAGGTGAGTTTTCGATACGCATCCAAATGGACGTTGTTACTCGTAGTAAACCCTTTTTTGGGACAACCGGTTTTTGAACTTCTTACTTTTCGTTAGATCCGATCTCCTTCCGTGTAATCTTCCTAAAAACTACTAGTCTACCGATTTTATCATCCTTAGTGCTCTTAAAACGATTTTCTTACGACACGGTAGTAGAGATTATGCTACCAACTTGATTACATTTATCGACTTAGGGTACGGAAGGAAGATCGTTAAATCGATCATTTGTTTCAATAGCTAATAAAGTTTAATTGAAGATAAGAATAAACTTCTAAGAATAAAACAAAAAATAATTAAAGTATTAGAAAATTTTCTTGAAGAATATTTTCAAATAAATGTTTATGTATATTAAAAACAAAAAACAAAAGAAATATTTAACGTAAACGATTTTGTTTCAACAGCCGGCCAGCTCGCAGGAGCGCGGGAGCGGCTTGGCTGTGGGGCGTCAAGGGGGGCCCGGTAGTGCGGGGGGCCCCGGAGCAGTCGAGCAGGCAAGGGACCTCAGTCCCTGCCTCCCCGCGTCGATGGGCGACGCTGCACGACCCACCACCTTACCGTGCAGTCCTCCCGCCGCCCACCACCACGGGTCCCATCACACGCCCCATCACACGTCCCATCAGACGCCCTTACATCAAACACATTGCGGCACCAACAACAATTGCTACGACGGACCGACCACCCCTTACGATTCCAGGGACTACGATTCGCCTGGAGGTTCGTTTATTTTCTTTTTTTTTTTATTTATTATGGAAATATTGTTGTAGGGTTCTATAAAAATGTTTTCTATAGCATTTGAAATGAAATTATTTCATGTAATTTTATTTTGAGTTTGATTAAAATGACTAAATTGTTATTTAAGATTGAATCGAACAATTGTGAAGTTTTGCAGAGATTTGAAATAAATAAAACAAAACAAATTAACATTTGACAGGTGGATCAGAGTACAGAAACAACGGTAGTTTCGATAATAATCCGAGTGACTTGAGTATGCCGCCACAAGGGACACATCATCACCATCACCACCATCATCACTCGCATTTACATGGACAAACTCATACGCAGGAACACCAATCTTCCGAACATTTGCAGACCATTCCGAAACTCGAGCCACCGCCAACGCCCCCGGCACAATCCGAGGATGTTCCTGGAGTTGTTTGTGCAGGATGCGGGCTCAGGATATCTGACAGATATTACCTTCAGGCGGTTGACAGGAGATGGCATGCTGCATGTCTTCAATGCTCTCATTGTCGTCAAGGTCTCGATAACGAAGTCACCTGTTTCTGTAGAAATGGAAATATTTACTGCAAAAAGGATTACTATAGGTGAGTACATTTTATTTTTCAACATAGTTTTTAACATACAGGAATATTTATTTTACATTTTATAATTTCATTTATTTTAAAATATTGGGCTGGCAACTAAGTTATTACTGAGTTTAAAAAGCCATCTATCGAAAAAATCCGCAATCACTTAGTTGCTAATCTAATATATAATTCAAAACAATGATATTATACACTTATGATTTTTATTTTCTTCGTTTAAAATCATATTACATGGATAAGATGATTGATTGATTTAATTATTGTCGATAATATTTAAAAATAAAAATAAAATAGAATAAGTTTAAATTTGGTCTTGGTCTGAATTAAGAGAAAAAACATGATTCGCATGACGGCTTAGATGACGACGAACTTACAACACTCAAGTGAGAAAGATCGTTCTTGGCGATCTCTTTTCCGCTTCCTCTTTAAGTCGATAGGGAGTTTATTTATTACGTTACTCGGAGGTTCATTCATAGCGGAGCGTGTTTACACGACCGCCCACCGGCCCTCATTTTTCTCGGTACGGTCATTAAGCGAGATCGCACGCCGGTAACGCCTGTCACGCTTACGCTACCGTGTCTCTCGCGGAAATCCGTGTTAAATCATTATATCAAGTCTAAAACATGAGTTAGAAAGAGAGAGAAAAAAAGAGGAGACACCCTAACTATGATATTCCTATTAAAATGATATTTTTTTTCCTTTTAAATTTCATTTTAACCCTTATCGGTCGTAACTCACGTTGTTAGTGATTTACTAATCAAAATACATATGTTATTCATTATAATATAATTAATAATCTCAGATAATTGCAGTACTCTTTCAAAAAAGTAATAAATAATAAGTTATTCTTATAAAATTGAAGTTTTTTGTTGCATCTTTAGTGAAATCACTTAAAACATAGTGAGAATCATCATTATAAAAATCTGACAACCGATAAGGGTTAATTATATACCTACGAGATGATAAATGTGCCCATAATTATAAAAGTGGTCTGAGTCTTCTCTGATTTAATCTAAATTGAATTCTATATAATATTGAAAATAACAAACACTATCTAACCAAAATTTATATTTGACAATATTAAATAATATAATTACGTTGAATTAATTGAAGTTTCAAATAATGTGCTGTGAAATAACCGATAAACTAATTTGTGTTCTTTATATTTTGACTTACAATTAGACCACTTTCATATAATAATGGTCACAAATGTTCATCTTATAGAGTAATTAACAAAATTAGAAAAATAAATTATATTTTTGTCTTTTTTAATAAAAAAAAAAAAAAACTAATCATTAAATTTAACGAATTTCGAATTAGTCGAAGGAAAAATCATGTGATGAAAGTTCAAAGACGTCCTTCGACGTCGTTCGAAAGTTTCAAACGTCCTCTCCTTCTCGTTTGCAACGTCTGAGTTGCATTTTGACGGCGAACAATCCGCGTCATGAAAGCCACACACACACACACTCGTTACGGCTTACCGAGAATAGGTCGGTAGGCTCGTGCGAATAAGTCAAGCGAGAAGTAATTTATGCGATTCCGTGAGCCATTCGAAGACGAGCGCTGTTTGAAAATACATCCGCCGCCACCATCACCACCACCAACACCAATACCAACACCAACACCAATACCACCACCAACGCTCATGCTGCAGCATTGCCGTCGTCAGCAAAATCGCGAAACGGATTCCGGCTAACGTTTTGCGTAATTACACGTCATCTTTTCTTTTCTTTTCTTTTTTTTCTTTTTAGTTTCCTTACCCCCCACACCACCCCATTTTTTTTAATTCTTAATATCAAGATATCTTTTTTTTATATTTTTATTATATAAATACTAGGATAGTTTGATCACGCATTGCTGTAGTTTTGTTAGAAAATGGTAATTTAATATAATTCTATATGTTATTTAATAAATTATAACAACTAATACTCGAAATAATATAAAAAGCAAGGTTAACTTATGTCATATGTAAATCTGAAAAGAACGTGTCACGTGAATAAATTGAAATTGAATTGTAATACAACACCATCTATTGAAAACTTAAAGAACTTACAGACTTATATAACCTCTAAATAACAAATCCTTAAAATTAGCAAAAAAAGAAAAAATACAAAATAATCCTAAAATAAGTTAAAAACTATTCTATGTACTAAGTTGATAAAAAAAAACACACAAAATTAAAAATAATTTCATATAAAATTCATTTATAATTTCATTTAAAGTTCATAAACGAACGAACGATATGAAACTAAATTTTTTTACATAAATATATAATTATATTTTCTATTAAAAATCTATTTTATTTGTAAGTGTTCTAAGAAAAGTTACACAACGTTGTAAATTTTTCATTTCTAATTCCTTTCGATAAGTCGCATAAGTTCGCGGTCTCTTACGATAAAATAAGCGATTCATGGCAGTTAACATTTGCAAATATAATCCGGCACGCAATGTTAGAACTACCTACTACTACTACTACTACTACTACTACTATTACTACTAGTGGATGTATCTCATCCGATGTATCGCACGCGAAACTAACATTTATCAAAGCCGACCCAGTTCGTGATTATTATTTTGCTAATGAAATATTAGGATACGTGGGGGTAAGTTGCTCGATCGAGCTACGATTTTTATTATAAATTCCGATGGCAATCGATTATGCATTATACTATTGCAACGTTGGCAGAAAAAAAAAACCAGAAAAGAAACAACGAGACTTTACCTTTAGTAGAGCAACCATAATCACATCGAATTTTTGAAGTATCAATTCTAACTGTTAGAAATAAATTGATTATATTAACTTTTATCTTTGATCACTCATATACCATGTGTTTTATACTTCTTTTTTCAAATGAAAAATATGACAATTTGTAGTAAGAAATTAGATAATGTTTAATTTTAATTTACAATTAGGATTAGTTGAACGAGTTAGGCCACACGTACTTACATGTCACATTAAAAGGAAAAAAATAAAGAGAGAAAGAGAGAGAGAGAGAAAAAATGTAACTATCTCTAGCAAAAGCCATAAGTTTTTTTTTTTTTTTTTTGAATCATCAGATCAGTTAGAAAAGAAATTCCTCGTTCTCTTTGATCGTACGAAACTTCCCATACTCGCAATACGTGTGTAATGGTGGTGAGCTAAACAACTCATGGTTGCTACTTAACGCGCGTCGACTTAATAAGAATTTTCTCACGTTTCCCTCTTTCCCTTCAACCAGTAATTTCCATTGCGGGAAACAATCGCCAGACCTGGCAGCTAGAAATACGCGGAAATCACCTGTCTTGCCATATTTCGATCTAACTTCAGACACTAATCCTCACGTTAAAGTAAACGATTCTTCTTAGGGCAACCAATAGTATAGTAAGTGGGTAAAATGTCGTCGTTATTGTTGTTGTTGTTGTTGTTTTACAGAATCCTAGTGTTTCAACCTTTACATTTTAACACTTTAATGGCCGCACGTCTACTTAGTCAAACGTGGCCAGGAGTCACGGTAATATTTTTGAAAAATTAATTTAAAAAAAACAACTTTATTAAATTCACGAGAAAAATTAACATAAAAAAAACAACAATTTAACAACAAATTTCATTTTATAAAATATATAAAAAGTTGTAAATAAATAACGATTGTTTCGGCTATCACACACATGTTGTGTGAGGGGCCATTAAAGTGTTAAGGTTTTAGTTAATCCCAAAGGGATTGTTATCGCAGTTCGACCTTTTCGTTAAAATTTCAGGGAAATATATTTCTACAATATTACGTCACCACCACCACCACCACCACCACCCCTTTTCTCGATTATTTCAATAATCAGTCCACCACCAACTTTTAATTACGTTTCGTAGTTTATCACGTTGATTGAGATTTTTGTTCTTTTATTTTTATTTCTTTTAAAGATAACATATCTTTAGTTGTTTTTTTCTCTCTTTATCCTCCTCTTATACAATTTGATATTTTTTTTTTTTTTTTAGAAGAAATTAATTTAAACTATCGATTTCTTAGTTGTTCTTTTTTTCTTCTTTTTTTCTTTCTCCAATTTTGTACAAGGTTTATATCGAATATTTCTAATATTTTTCTAAGATAATCGTTTGGAGACATTTCAAGGTATTCGACGAAGTGCTTTCATCACGATTTCATTTGTAATTGAAAAAAAAAAAAACAAAAAACAAAACAAAACACAAATCATGGGAAAAATATTCAAACCAAGTTAAAAAGTTAAACTCAACGCGTGTTTGGTATTACTGAATGACGAGTATTTTATTTTTATCCTGTTTCTTCGTTTTTTTTTTGTTTAATCTCTTACCTCTTTTTTTTTACCTTAACAACACTTTAATAGGCCAAGTATTGCGAATAAAAAATAACCAACAGGAGAAACACAACAACGACACAATAACAACAACAAAAATAAAGAAAAGAAGAAGAAAAACGGTTGATCTTAACTAGTATCATTATCCTCGTACGTTTAACGTGTGTCACAGGAATGAATAGCGTTTAATATATTTTAAAAGAAAAAGAAGAAGAAGAAGAAAAAAAAATTTTTTGAAATGATGGAAACGCAATGCAAAAGTAAAAGATAGTTATCGTTATAATTCTTTTTTTTTTCTTTCTTTTTTTCTTTTTTAACATACACGATGCGGGTACAGTGTGCAAAAGTAAAGAAAATACTCGTCAAAATCGTCGTAGTTTTGCTCCCATTCGTCGTTTGGATAAACGTTTTGAGGTTATAAAGCTTCTTCTTCTTCTTTTTCTTCTTTTTCTTCTTCTACTTCCTCTTCTTTTTCTTCTTTCTTTCTTTATTTCTTTCTCTTTCGATAGAATTCGAAAGAGACTTTAATGACTGCAGAAAAACTTGGTGTAACGAAGCTTTGCCCATAGAATTAGATTCTAACTAAACGCCATTTTTGTTTTTTGTTTTTTTTTTTTTTAACGAATGAAGTGGATGATGCGAAAACTTTTCTCTCTCTCTCTCTCTCTCATTTTCTCTCTTCATCCCACTTTCAC